GGTCCGCTACGACGTCCGCGGATAGAGAAAATCAGCGCCATGGTAAGGGATGGGAGGGAGGGGTAGGACGTCAGATATGACGCGAGCGCACATAGCTTGTCCCCCTCCCCCTTCTCCTCCTCCTCCTCCTCATCCTCATCCTCATCCTCATCCTCCTCGTTCCGGTCCCGCAGTGCTCCCCCCGCGCCCGCCCAGTCTGGTGGGGCAGACCATGATCAGCCACCCTCACGACGTGGGCGTGCAGAAGTACGGCAACTACTTCATGGGAGATCTCCTCAATGCCGACCCCAGACCCCAAACATCCGAAGGATTGATGTTTGGCTATCGTGTTTTCTCAGTGCCATCGGTTTCGGCGTCCAGAAGCGTTCGCGCGGGCCCGCGCGGGGCCATCAAACATCGAGCGGGGACTCCAAACTACACCTTGGGAAGGGGTCGGGAACACTAAGGCCGCGGACTGCAACATCACATCGCAGGATGTCCTGGACCGATCGTGGGACACGCAAAGCCAGGAGACACAACATCTGTGTTGCTTGTTTCTCGTGCCCTCGCTCTCGCGACCCAGGGGCGCTCGGCAGGCTGCGGGCAGAAGCGTGGCAACTACTCTGCGGTCGTAGGTTGTGCTTCCGCCCGGGATCCCGACCTCGGGCCTGCTTCGGAGGTCCTGATCGGGGGTTGCTCAAGGTGTCCATGGCCTAAAGTGTTCCCAGCTTTCTTTCTTTCTTTCTCTCTCTCTCTCTCCTCACGTCAAACCCGTGTTCACCGTGTTATCTGCTTCTGCGGAAAAGGGACCGTTTATCGTACCATCCATGTCAATAGTCTCCCCCTCCGCCCGTGGGGGCGCCCTGAGGCGAGCGCACGAGCTGCCCAATCTTGTGATGCTCGGCGTCCTGGAGATCCTGTGCCCCGCTGTCCGAGCCCTGACTGAGTCTCGGCATGGCTCTCATTCCTTCCCTTCCTTCGCCACTACCTCCACCACCATCGCGTCGCAAGCTCTTGCCACCATCACCACCGTCACCGCCACCAGCACCATACCCCCACTCCCTTTCGCCTCCTGCTCCACCGTTTTTGTTCCTTGTTCCTCTTTCGTCGCTCACCGTTCCGCCCCGCTGCTTGCCTTGAGCTTTCCCAGGAAGGCGCAATACGCGCTGACAACCGCACTGTTCCAAGGGCAGCCTTCTTGAGCACCACGTACGGGTCTCCTTTTCCCTGTCCCCTCACCAGGCCAGCGCGGGTCTGGGTCTCCGTGACGCTCGTGCCACATGCAGAAGCGTTCCCACTCAGAGTGCTCAACAGGTGGCCCCCACTCAGAGGGGGCGGAGGAGGAGGGGGGGGCGGGGCGGCGGGGGGAGGCGAGAGGCGGAGGAGAGGGGAGGCGGAGGAGGAGGAGGCGGCTGAGGGTGGCGAGAGGAGGAGAAGGAGGAGGAGGAGGAGGAGGAGGAGGAGGAGGAGGATGAGGAGGACGGAGGAGGAAGGAGGAGGAGGAGGAGGTAGGAGAGAGGAGGGGGAGCAGGACGATGCTCGGATGCCCCCACTCAGAGTGCTCAACAGGTTGCCCTTCCGTCGGGCCCGAGACGCGGCCGCACCCCACGCCGGGGCACGGCGCGACAAAAAAGGGCTGCCTTCTGCCAGCCGGCCCGCCCTCCGAGAGCCTCCCCCTCTCCCCGCCCCTCGCCTCGAGGATCCAGGAGGGGCAGGGAGGAGGAGGAGGAGGAGGAGGAGGAGGAGGGGCAGGGAGGAGGAGGAGGAGGAGGAGGAGGAGGAGGAGGAGGAGGAGGAGGAGGAGGCAAGGAACGGAAGGACCCGCTGGGGGAGCGCACAGCAATAAATGGTCACTCAAGCCAGGTCCAGAAGAAACAACGTCTTGGGGATGTGAGTTCCCGAGAGGGTAGAATTAGTGTTTCTTCATGCCAGCCCGCTCTTGGCGGCCACGCCTGGTGCTGAAGCGGCCTTGAACAAAATGCAGGCGAATTGGGGTCGTCGACTGTTGGGGTGCCACCACGGCCCCCCGATTCGACACGCGGTGGTTGTCGCCCAATGTGGCTGGCCCATGCGTTTGGGAACGAAATTCTTGAAGAAATCCCTCATGGCAAGGGCGCATCTCATGCTCCTGCCAGAGGCCCACCCAGGGGCTTTGATGCTGCAGGCGGCCCGTGCTTTGGCCACCCCGACGTGGGAGTTTGCCGTTGTTGCCCTCGCGCGGCGGCCGGACCCCCCTCCGCCGGACTTGGAGGGTTATGCTTTGTTCCCCCCCGCACTGAACAAAGAGGCGCGGGCGGTTTCAAGCTCTCGCAAGTCTGCTCTCAGATTGTATCGGACCGAAGTCCTGCGTCCGGCATTTTTTTGAGATACGACCGAGTTGCTTTCGCAAAGGCGGGTCAGCAGATGCTGGTACTTTTCAACCGCTAGTTTGCCGCTTTTTGGTCCTCCCCATCGCCTCGTGATCCAGCGCTCCTGGCGAGTGAGCCGGGCCCTGCCTTCTGGTTGCACCATCGTCTATGGGCAGTGGCGCGAATGACAGGCCGGTGGCCGCTGTCGGTTTTAGGCGGCAGGGAGCACCCCGCTTCCCTGCGCCGTTGCAGAGCCTGTGGGCGCTGGAACGCGTCTCTGCGTCACGCGCTCGCGTCGTGCCCCATTTTCGCCACCGACCGTCGGGAATTGTTCCCTGGCGATGTCCCGCCAGACCTGATGCTCCAGATGTTGTTCGGGGATCACACCAGCCCCAGTTACTACATCTCACACATTTCTTTTGTCGGGAAGACCATTCGGCGTTCTGCACCGTTGTGTTCTTTGTCGTCTTCCTCTTCTTCCACCTCTCCTTTGTCCTCCTCTCACTCGACCCCTTTGGGCGTTGTCCGTGGATGTCGTGATTGACGAGACCAGAAGGGGACCTCCGAGATGAAGATGGCATCCAGCACTGGTTGAGTCTGGTCCTCCAGGGAGCTGCTGTGGGGGTCATGCGCGGGCCCCCCAGCGAGACGCGGGCCGCGGCGCGATATGGGCAGTCCTGATACAGCTGGTCGTGAACATCCGCAGTATTAGTGACTGTTTGAATACCAAATTCGGTGGAACTCGTTCTTGGGGCACTCCTGGGTCTGGTAACTTTGCCCTTTTCCAGCGAGCGTCCCCCAGGCGATACGGAAGAATACGGAGATAGGTCGGGCAGAGGGCGTGCACATCTACGGTCCTCATCGCAGCGGGGCCCTGTGTATCGAGCCAGGGGTGAAACAAGAGGTCGATTGAACTCATTGCCTCGTGCACGGTGGTGGCTCGGAGGCTGTAGCGAAGATGAAGTAAAAGAAGAAGATGTAGGAGAATGTGCACACGATGTGGTATCTTTGCCCAACTCCGGTACACTCGCTCCTGTAGAAGGTCGGGGGTCGAAGCATGGAGAAAATAGGAAGTCTTGGGATGAAGCGCCACCTCCCTGATGCGGTTGTGCACTTTCTCGGTGGTCGTCTCCGTGACTTTGTCCGCGGATGCGGATAGAGGATTGAGAAGACCCAGGTATCGGTGATGACGTAAGAGACGAAGAAGCATGAGTCCCTGGGTATGTATCGAAATCCAAATACTGAGAACTCGATCTAGGATCGCTCTCGGTCGTGGTATTTTTTGCCCACTCCCGGAGTGGATCCAAGATAGGAAGCGGGAGGGTTCGGAGGTCGGGTATGTGATTTTACGTCTGGGTGAGTGTGCCCATGATGAGGTCGATAGTCTTCTTGAGCTGCATCAAATTGACCGTGAGGGTGAACAGAAGCGGCATGAGAACGTGCAGCCGGCATGGTATCTTTGCCCATGACCGGATGCTCGCACTGATGGGGGGGAGGCGGGGGCGGGGCGGAGTGGGGGGCGGGGCCAGGGCGGGGGGGCGGAGGCAGGGAGGGGGGCGGAGCGGGGGACGGGGCGGCGGGCGGGGGCGAGGTTGGGGAGGCGACCTTCGAGGTGTGTAGCGGTGTCGGCTGCGGCGTCGGTAATAGAAGAGTTTGTGGTGGTAGGGTCTGCCAGCGCCTGCCGTAACTCCTGATTACCTCGATCCCTTTGATATACCTTCAGCCCCACCTTTCCGATTCATCGCCGCACGGCTCACGATCCCATCGCAGGCTGCATTAAGTTCTCGGAGTTTCGGGTGAACGCGCAAATCCTGCCATTCAAGCCACTCTTTGGCCCAATCTCGGCGAATCGCGTCCCCATCAATGGTAACTGTAAGTGCTACTTCTCCTCCAACCGTGACCGTGTAAGGCTGAGTGCCGTCGTCCACCCTGATGGGCCATTCAATCCCCATTGTGTCTTTTAGCATAAACTTGACTCCGAGGCACAGGTTGCGGGCAGCACGGACCAAAGGCGGGCGATCGGGAGCTGCCGAGATATGCTTACCATTTCTTGGGAGTTTTGCGTTTCGTAGTTGGCCCACCGCTTTGTCCTTCGCACCAACTCTATGAACAAAATGTTCTGGAAGTCCCCTTTGGCATACGAATTTGTGGGTGTTGGTGCTGATAGTTTTTTGCAACTCCTGCTTGATCCCCTGTTTCTGTATTGTTTTGGGAAGAAAGGACATTATAGCCCCCGACCCCCCCTACCCACCCTATAACGTAACGCCCTTGCCCCCCTAGTGCGCTCCGGGCACTGCCGCCGTGCGCATCGGGCACACGGGGGGGGGAGGCGCTACATTATACCCCCACCCTTGCCCCCCCCCCCCCCACCCCCTCCCTCCCCCTCTATAATGCCCATTATCGCCGAGAATAAAGAAACGCGCTCCACCCACTACTGTCGCCCTCCCTTCCGCAGAGGGCACCCATGCACCACCGTGCCTGGCCAACGCCATCCTTGGCCCGGGCATGGTGCATACGTCCTGCGGGCCTCCCGCCCGAGCCTATACACCATCCTTGGGGGCCCAGGAGGCCCTGGCCTGGCATGATGGTGGCGTATAGATGCCCTCTGCGGATCCTTGCCCCAGCTGGACATCACCACTGCATTGTCTTCGCCACACGGTCGACGCCTCTGCCAGCTTTTGGGTGCTCCACCGGCGGCGCTGCGAGGCCATGGACAAACAACGGCAGCTGTGCCAGCTCAGAAACCGCGGAGCCCAGTGGCCTCGCTGGCGACTCTGCTCGGCGCCCCGCGCGTGTCAGAGCTGCACACCGTCATCAGCATGGACGGCGTGGGGTCGAAGCAGGCGCCTCTGGATCGGTGACGACATGTGAGCCCTACCCCCCCCACCACGATTTCTAGGGGGGGGTCACTTCGTTCGGGAGCTCCCGAGCGAAATTTATCCCCATCCCCCCTAGAAATCGTGGGGGGTGGGGGTAAGGTCAAGTCGGGCACGTCCCTCTACTGGAGGATCCTTCAACAAAAATAGTCAAACATAATCTGGGGACGAATGTTCAGGTATTTGTGACTATTTTTAAACATGTGTGGATTCGTTTTGATTTTTCTTCCACACTTCGCATGCAGGAGGACATGCCCGACCTGAGGGTGGGGTCCACGCGTGGTCATCCATCCAGAGCAGCGCTCGCCCCACGAGCAGGCAGCTCTGGAGGGGCGCCCGACGGGCGGGGTGGCGGCAGCGGCCGTCGCCTCTGAGCTGTCGCTGCTGAGCAGAGATCGGCGGCGAGCCCCAGGGGGGAAGTGATGAGGAGAAGGCCTTCTCAGAAGGGGGGTGGGACTTCTCAAAAGCCCTCGCGCCTTCTGAGGGAAGACTTCGGGGAACGGCTTGGTCGACTTCCTCAGGAGGACGGGGGACTTGAGAGCCTTCCGAGAAGGCCTTCCCCGTCTCACTTCCCCCCTGGGCTCGCCGCCGAAAAGATGTGGCCTGCGCAGCTTCGGTCGTCGCTGCTGAGCAGGCTGCGCTCAGGCAGAGGTTGGGCCAGCTGCAGACCACAGCAGCGGAGCAGACGGCGACTACACAGCCCAACAGACTCGAGCCCTGGGGGCTGAAGAGTCCACGACATGCTACCATCGCTACATCAAGCGAGATCGGAGTCTTGAAGCAGCAGGTGGCCGAACTGCAGCTCAAGCTCTTCGAGGAGGAGCGGCAGCGAGAGTCGACTGGCTCCGCTGCGACAGCGCTGGCAGAGATGCGGCAGCTCAGGGCGCAGGTGTCCGAGACGCTGGCAAAGCTCTCTGAGGAAGCACGGCATCGGGAGTCGACCGGCTCTGCGACGGCGGCAAGGGCCAGCGCCCTGGAGGAGGCGCTGGCAGCGCAGGTCATCCGGCTGGAGGCCGAGAAGGCGTGGCTTCAGCAGCGTGTCCGCGCAGCGTCAGAGGCCAAAGCCGTGGAGGCAGCGCTGGTTGCGCAGATCAGCAGGCTGGAGTCCGAGAAGGCTGATCTGCAACAGAAGGCCAACGCCGCGGAACAATTGGTGGCCTGGGTCAGGAGGCTAGAGTCGGAGAAGGAGCTCCTCCAGCAGCAGGCCGACACATGCATTCAGGCCGCGTTGGCGGAGGAGGCGCTGCGGGTGCAGCTTGTCGGGCTGGCAGCGCAGGTCAGCAGGCTGGAATCCGAGAAGGCGGAGCTCCAGCAGCAGGCCAACGCATGCACCGAGTCTAAGGTCGCCGAGGAAGCGCTGGCAGCACAGGTCAGCAGGCTGGAATCCGAGAAGGCAGAGCTCCAGCGGCAGGCCAACGCATGCACCGAGGCTAAGGTCGCGGACGAAGCGCTGGCAGCGCAGGTCAGCCGGCTGGAGGCCGAGAAGGCGTGGCTTCAGCAGCGCGTCAGCGCAGAGTCCGAGGCCAAAGCCGTTGAGGAAGCGCTGGTTGCGCAGGTCAGCAGGCTGGAGTCCGAGAAGGCTGATCTGCAACAGAAGGCCAATGCCGCTGAACAACTGCTGGCCTGGGTCAGGAGGCTAGAGTCGGAGAAGGAGCTCCTCCAACATCAGGCCGACACATGCACTCAGGCCGCGTTGGCGGAGGAAGCGCTGCGTGTGCAGCTTGTCGGGCTGGAGTCCGAGAAGGCGGAGCTGCAGCAGCATGTCAGTGTTTTGGCCGAAGCTAGTGCCGCGGAGGAGGCGCTGGCAGCACAAGTCACCAGGCTGGGGAACGAGAAGGCGGAGCTCTTGCAGCATGCCAGCGCCTGCGCTGAGGCAGAAGCAGCGGAGGAGGCGCTGGCCGCGCAGGTCAGCAGGCTAGAGGGCGAGAAGGCGGATCTCCAACAGAAGGCCGACGCACACACCAGGGCCAAGGCGTCGGCGGCGGCGTTGCGCTCGCGGCTGGGCAGGCTGGCCAGCACCGCGGAGGAGGCACTGGTAGCGCAGGTCCGCAGGCTGGACTTCGAAAAAGCTGTACTCCAAAAGCAGGCCAAGGCTGCGGAGGAGGCGCTGGTTACGCAAGTCAAAAGGCTGGAATCAGAAACGATGGAGCTCCAACAGAAGGGCACTGCCATGGAGGAGTTGCTGACAGCACAGGGCAGCAGGCTGGAAACTGGGAAGGCAGAGTTCCAACAGCAGGCCCACGCATACGCTGATGCAAGGGCGGCGGAGGAGGCGCTGGCAGCGCAGGTCAGCAGGCTAGAGGACGAGAAGGCGGAGCTTCAGCAGCAGGCCACGGCCATGTCCGAGGCCAAAGCCGCGCAGGAAACGCTGGCAGCGCAGGTCAGAAGGCTGCAGTCCGAGAAGGCAGGGTTTCGACAGCGGGCGGCGGAGTGCCAACAGCACGCCGGCGCGTGCGCTGAGGCCGTTCCAGCCGAGGAGGCGCTGCGGGCGCAGCTCAGGAGGCTGGGGGACGAGAAGCCGGAGCTCCAACAGCAGCCCGCTGCCGTGGCCGAAGCCGAAGCTTTGGAGGAAGCCTTGGCAGCACAGGTCAGCAGGCTGGAGGATGAAAGGATCGAGCTCCCACAGCAGGCCGACGCCTGTGCTGAGGCTATGGCGGTGGACGAGGTGCTGCTGGCGTGTTCCAGCGGGCTGGAGGCCGAGGCCGCGCGGGAGGCGCTGGCAGCGCAGGTCAGCCGGCGGGAATCCGAGAAGGCGGAGGCCAATCGGGGGCATCAGCACCACCGCTTCGGAGCCCTTGTCGAGCTCTGGCTGCCGGCAGCGGTTTCGGCCCTCGAAGACGTCGGACGTGTAGGCATTGGTCGAGCCGTGGACATACCTATCTCGGAGGAGGAGAAGGATAAGGAGCAGGGTTGAAGGGCACGGGTTTGGAGGGACGCGGCGTGGAGAGAGATTATGGTGGTGGTGATGATGATGATACTGATGGTGATGATGTTGATGGTGATGATGCAATGATGATGATGCTGCTGATGATAATTATTATCATGATGGTGATGGTGATGATGGTGGTGGCGATGGTGATAGTCATGATGATGATGATGATGATGATGATGATGATGATGATGATGATAATGATGATGATGATGATGATGATGATGATGATGATGTTGAGTATGAAGACGATGATACTGATGATGATGGTGATGATGATAATGATAATGGTGGTGATGGTGGTGGTGCTGCTGATGTTGATGCTGATGTTGATAGTGATGAGGAGGAGGTCGACGACGATGACGATGATGACGATGCTGATGACGATGATTATGACGATGATGACGATGCTGATGATGATGACGATGCTGATGCTGATGATGCTGATGATGATGATTATGATGATGGTTATGGTGATGCTGTTGGTGGAGATGATGACGATGCTGATGCTGACGATGATGATGTTGATGATGGCGATGCTTGTGATGATGATGCTGATTGTGATAATGAGGATGATGATGAGGAGGATGGTGATGGTGAGGATGGTGGTGGTGATGACGACGATGGTGATGACGGTAAGGCTGATGATGATGGTGATGATGGTTGTCTTGGTGGTGATGATGATGCTGATGGTGGTAATGATGTTGATGATGCTGATTCTGATGGCGACAATGATTGTAATTCTGCACGCGTCGGGAATTCCCACCAGCCCATTCAGAAATACTGCCCATGAGAGCTGATGGGGAATGGGGGGAATATGCATATACATAGAATAGTGAACCAAAGCGGGCAACCAGGGTGAACTGAGAGATCTCCGGGGGCGAGGGGATGCGGCCCAGATCGAAGAGCATACAAGCCGTAGTGCTTTTTCTGAATCGGAGCACGACCAGAAGGCCAGAGCCGCGGAAGAGGCGATGGCAGCACAGGGCAGCAGGCCAGGGTTCGAGAAGGCGGAGCTTCAACACCAGGCCAGGTCATGCCGATCCGAAAATCCGTGCAGACCTGTGGGTGCTTCACAAGAAGACACCTTCCACAGGAAACCCAACCGCGAGATCCAGGGATGTCAACCGATTTTTTGGGGTGGGAACGTCATGCTCTCCTTGGCATCGGCCCCGACTGCGTGTCACTCTACGCTGCCCAAACAGGGTGCCGAGCACAGGGAAGCGGAGAAGGCGCTGGCAGCGCAGGTCCGCAAGGCAGACTCTGAGAAGGCGGACCTTGACCAGCAAGCCGCCGGGTGCGCCGAGGCCACGGCGGCCGAGGAGGCGCTGCGGGCGCAGCTCGACAGGCTGGAGTCCGAGAACACGAAGCTTCATCAGCAGGCCAGAGCTGCGGAGGAGGCGTTGGCAGCGCACGTCAGCAGACTGGAAGCCGAAAAGGCGGATCTCCAGCAGAAGGCCAAGGTTCGGAGGCCTGGAAGTTGACACCAACACCAATATGGGCGGTGTGCCTCCACTGAGGGAAGAGCGTCCCGGTCTCGGTGATGGTGGTAATATTCTGTCTAGGCGGCCCACGGATTACCACCATCACCGAGATCTAGGATTGTCTTTCCCCGGTGGAGGCAACCCCCTGAGTTGGTGTTGGTGCCCAGTTCAAGGCCTCCAAAAGGTCAGGGAGGAGGCGCTGGCAGCGCAGGTCAGCAGGCTGGAATCCGAGAGGGAGGAGCTTCTCCAGCAGCAAGCCGCGGATGCGGAGGAGGAGGAGGAGGAGGACGAGGAGGAGGCGAGCGAGGAGGACGAGGAGATCCTATTTTGATTGCTGCCAGAGCGCAGGGAACACCCCGCACGATCCGCGCGCCAGCCCGCTCGCTGCACGAGCCACGGGCCGAAAGAAGAGCTGCCGCAACTGTGGCAGAACGCTGCGCAAGCCGAAGCGCCCCTTCGAGAAGAAGCGCCCGGATTCGGGCCCAGGAACGCAGTCACCGATATATTACAAGAGATCCAAGGCGACATCGGAGGGCCTGCTGAAACGCGTCCTGGAAACGGACATGTCGCGATGGCTGCTGTCCGTTAAGAGCGTAGCAAGGGATCCCAGGCTGCCTCGTAGTGGAGGCGTGCAGTGCGCCCTGGCCAAAATCCGCACTGCGGCCCGTCACCTTCTCATTGTCGACGAGAAGAGCGAGCAGCGCGTGCTCCAGGGCGAAGCGCTGCTCCGTCGCATGATCCGCACCGGCCTTGTGATGGAGAGTGAGAAGAAGATGGATTGCGTACTCGGTCTCAGCAGGGCGAAGCTCATGGAGCACCGCCTGCAGACTAAAGTCTTCAAGCTCGGACTCGCGAAGTCGATCCACAACGCGCGAGTGCCGATCCGCCAGCGCCACAGCGGCGTCGGCAAGCAGATCCGCAACGTCCCGTGCTTCCTGGTGCGCCTCGACAGCGAGAAACACATCGCCTTCGCCCTCACCTCCCCGCTCGGCGGCGGCAGGCCCGGGCGCGTGCGCCGCAAGATGATGCAGAAAAAGGGTCGGGGGCGGCCAAGAGGGGGGTGATGACTAGGGCGGGGTGCACATCCTGGGGGGAGCCATGGCATCTCCCCAGACTTCCTGGCGCCTCTTCTCATGCAGTTACGTCCCCGGCCCCCCCCCCCCTGGGCCGCGCACGTGCCGCCGGCCATGATTTGCGCCCCCCCCTCTTGGACGCCCCCCTCTTGGCCGCCCCCGAGAAAAAAAGGGCGGCGGCACAGACGGCGACGGCGAGCCAGGGCCCTGCCGGGGCTGCCCCGCCCGCCCGCCAGCGCCCGGGGAGCGCTTTTGTCTGCGACAGGCAGAAGCCCTCCGATCGAGCGGGTCCTCCGGCAGAACGCAAAGATGTTCTTTTGTTCGTCGAAGAAGGAGAAGAAGAAAAAGAAGAAGAAGAAGAAGGAGAAGAAGAAAACACGGCATAAGCATAAACTTTTGGCGCTCCGCGCGGGTTTCTTGGATCCAATCTGGGCCCCCCCCGGCGGCGCCTCCAGCGCCGCCCCTGGCGCGCTCCGCGCGCCAGGGAGGGGGGCCCAGCGCAGATCCAAGAAATTCGCGCGGAGCACCAACAGTTTCTGTTTATAGCGTTTTTTCTTCTTCCAGTTCGGCGTAGTCCTGCCTTCGGTACGGGAAGTTGCACCGCCCAGAACAGCAAGAGCGCAGGCCTTTCGTCGCTAGTAGCATGCATCGGACACAGGAGTCTTGACAGGCCCCCATCCCTCCGCCGTGTGCCAGTTTCAGTTCTTTCAGCTTCCACAAAGCAAACAGCGTGGCGACGCGACAAGTGTACAATGTATCTGTGTATGTCTGCCTGTCTGTCTGTCTGTCTGTATGCATGTATGTACGTACGTACACGCGTAGTACACATATATAATATACAAGACTGCAGTGGCGCTTCGCGCCATGCACCTTGGTCCTTGAAGTTTGGTATGCAGGCGGAATAGCAGGAAGGTCAAGCCGACAATTTAGCGATAATTCCTTGTTGCCTTTTCTGGCATCGCCGCTATAATAATGTTATTCGTTATCCTTCCTCCGTGCTTCTTTTTCTCCATTCTCGCCATACCCTGCGCATTCTCCCCATCCTCCTCAGCTCTTTTTTGCGAAGGCTCCTCCTTGGAGAACCTCTGGGGGCCTCAGAAAAGTTGTTTCAGGCTTTCTTAAGGCCTTCTGGAGGCGTCCTGGGCGTATTCTGGGGGCCTCTGGGGGCTTCCTCGGGCCACCCTGCCTCCAACCGCAGTCTCCCTGAACGACCGGATCACGATTTGGAATGTTTCGGAGGGCGTCTTGGGGCCATCTTGGGCCGCCATGGGGCTCTCTGAGGGCCATCTTTGACCCGTGTTGTACCGTTTTGGGGCTCTCTTGGACTGCCTGGAAGCCCTTTAGGATGGTTGTGGGGCGATTTTGGAGCCTCCCAGGCGGCTTCGGACGCCCAGAAGACCGCCGTCTTGGAGCGTCGGGAAGCCGAAAAGAGGAGAACCCCCAAATTCACCAAAAACCAACAGAAAATCCCTGATTTTTGCCTCTTGGGGCCCTCTTGGGAGTGCTCTTGGAGGTCTCGTTGGGGCCGTCCTGGAGGCCTCTTGGGCCATTTTGAGGTCACGTCGGTCACTCTTGGAGCGCTCTTGTGCTGTCTTGAGGGTCTCTGGGGCGTCTCCGATGACCCCCCTGATCGCCCAAGGTGTGCTGGGAAGGCTTGGCAAAACGCCCTGCGAGGCCCGGTGGGCCGCTTCGAGGCTCCAAGGCCCCAGATCCCGGGAGCCCGTTTTTTTTGGGGGGGGGTCTCCCCGCCTGGGCAGGAAAAAAATGAGGAAGAGGAATATATATATATATATATATATATATATATGTATGTATATATATATGTGTGTGTATATGTATATGTATATGTTTATCTGTTTATATGTTTATATGTATGTATGTATGTATGTATGTATGTATGTATGTATGTATGTATGTATGTATGTATGTATGTATGTATGTATGTATGTATGTATGTATGTATGTATGTATGTTTTGTGTATGTGTGTATGTATGTATGTATGTATGTATGTATGTATGTATGTATGTATGTATGTATGTATGTATGTGTGTATGTATGTATGTATGTATGTATGTATGTATGTATGTATGTATGTATGTATGTATGTGTGTATGTATGTATGTATGTATGTATGTATGTATGTATGTATGTATGTATACATCCATATGTATACGTACACATCTATATATATATATAGATATATACCTATTCATATATTTTAATCGGGCTTGGGACGCCGGAAAAAGCGCCCCCCCCTCCCCCTAACGAATGTGGCCTTCCCTGGCCCTCTGGGCAACCCTCCAGACGACCCGGGATAACCTCACAAGAGCCCGTAGACGGCCCCAGACGGTCAGACGGGTTCCAGGCGGTCCGGCGCGCTCCCGAAACGTCCCCAGAGAGCCCCAACACGGTCCACGACGACCCCCAAGAAGCCGTCATACCGTAAAAGATCGCTCCAAAACGTCCCAAGAGGCCTCCAAGAGCACTCCTAGAAAGGCCCCCACAGGCAACAATCATGGATTTTCTGTTGGTTTTTGGTGAATTTGGGGGTTCTCCTCTTTTCGGCTTCCCGACGCTCCAAGACGGCGGTCTTCTGGGCGTCCGAAGCCGCCTGGGAGGCTCCAAAATCGCAACCATCCTAAAGGGCTTCCAGGCAGTCCAAGAGAGCCCCAAAACGGCACAACACGGGTCAAAGATGGCCCTCAGAGAGCCCCATGGCGGCCCAAGATGGCCCCAAGACGCCCTCCGAAGCATTCCAAATCGTGACCCGGTCGTTCAGGGAGACTGCGGTTGGAGGCAGGGTGGCCCGAGGAAGCCCCCAGAGGCCCCCAGAATACGCCCAGGACGCCTCCAGAAGGCCTTAAGAAAGCATGAAACAACTTTTGTGAGGCCCCCAGAGGCTCTCCAAGGAGGAGCCTTCGCAAAAAAGAGCTGAAGAGGATGGGGAGAATGCGCAGGGTATGGCGAGAATGAAGAAAAAGAAGCACGGAGGAAGGATAACGAATAACATTATTATAGCGGCGATGCCGGAAAAGGCAACAAGGAGTTATCGCTAAATTGTCGGCTTGATCTTCCTGCCATTCCGCCTGCATACCAAACTTCCAGGACCAATGTGCATCGCGCGAAGCGCCACTGCAGTCCTGTATGTGTATATATATATGAGTGTGTATATATATATATATATACTTATATGTATGTATATATATATATATATATTAGCAGATGTAAACGTTTTCTATCCAGTGGCGCTGCCGCGCATATCCGCCACCGCGCTTGTGGAAGGGACGTAGGGAGGCAGCAGCGGGGCGAGGCAGGCAAGGCAGTTGTGGGCCAGAGTCTCCCACACTGTCCTGGAGAGCTCCACGGCGGCCCCAGAGGTTGCCAAGGTGGCCCCAGAGGGCTCCCGCAGACTCGAGACCTGCCGGGAAAGTCTAAGAGGACTCAAGAGTCTCGACGGTGTTCCCAGCAGGCTCCGAACAGTTGTTTAAAAAGCTCGCAAGAGGTCTTGAAAGAACCGAAGAGGGTCCCCAGAGCCCTCGACGACCCAGAAGGTCCATCATACGCCTGAGGCGGCAGACTAGCTCGAGTGACCAGCACGGGAGACCAGCGTGGTAGGCCATCATTATGAATAGGTTTTGGCAGGATCTCCGAACAATTTGGAGGGAGGCTTCTCGGGAGCGTCTTGGAGGCATCTTGGAGGCTTCTCGGGGGTGTCTTGGAGGGAGTTTGGGGGCCTCCCTGGGGCCTCTTGGGGGCCCTCTGGGGCTTTCTGGGTGCCTCTTGAGGACTTCTGGGGGTGTCCAGGGGCCGAGGGCTAGGCATTTCATTAGTTTTTCCCTTCCAGGTCGTCTCTTGAGCCCGTCAAGACGGCCCTCTTGGGCCGTCTGGGGCGCCTCTTGGGCCGTCTGGGAGCTCTCTTCGGGCTGTAAAATCTCAAGGGGCGAATCTGTTAAGCATGAACGATTTCCGAAGGGAATGGGACGATTTTTGCTTCTTGGGGCCCTCTTGGGAGGCATCTTGGGGGCCTCTTGGGGCGTCTTGGAGGCTTCTAGAGTTGTCTTGGGGCCACCTTGGGCGTCTTGGCGCGATCTTTCGGCGACAAGGGGCCCTCCTGGAGCGTCTAAGGGGCCGATTTGGGCCCTCAAGTGAGCCCCCTTTAATTGCAGCCCATTTCGGCGCTGTCCTGCATTCAGACTGTCAAGCGGCTGTTTGGGGAGCTTTAAATAATGGGTTGGCCAAGCGCCACTCGTCGCCACGTGCCGGGAATTGGAGAAAATATCGGGCCGCCCCATTTATCAGTGCGCGACAGTCAAGGCTCACCGCGATGAAGAGCAGGCTGTAGATAGTGAAGACCTCTGCCACATCAAAGGCAACATACGTGCTAACCCTCATGCGAAGATAGCCGCTAGGAACAACCATATGCGCGCTGAAGAATTGAAGGTTTTCCTAGAAGCCCGCAAGTTGTACAAGAGAGTTGTTAATACATTGCTACGCTACAAGCTATTGTGGAGCGTCCCCCCGCTCAGAGAGATCTTTGGTGAGCCCCCCAGGAGTCAGGCCCCGTGCTCTTCCTGTCCCTCTCCGGCCACGCAACCCTGTCTGGGGTGGAGTCCGTTGGAGATGCAAGCGACCTCACCGTTCTGGAGCCAAGCAGCTCGCTAGCTCAAGGGTTTTTGAACTCTGCCCATCTCTCAAAAGAGCTCGTTGGCAGCAAGTGTTCCCCACTCCCTGTGGGCAGCGGCCATCGACGCATCAGAGGTGCTGATATTCCTTCGTCGGAGATGCGGGCCCGTGGGGACCGCCAGGGCCTTGCAGCTGAAAGGGCCCTGCCACACGCGACCAGCTCCCAGAAAGACCCCAGGAAGCGTGGATGGGGGGGCGCACCAGGGTCTAGTACGGTAGGTTTGCGTCGTGTCGACCAGCGGCGACCCCAGCGCGGGCGTTCAAGGTTGAGCGCCGCCGGCGACCCAGAATCGATCGATGTTGAACGATCGGACGTTGCGGCAGCGGCCGATCGTTCAAGGTTGAACGATCCCTGCGGTGTCAAAAACCAACGCTGGGGTCGGCACGACACGAACCTGCCGTATGAGATCTCTGACCCTTGGCTCACCACCCACCAAACCACCCCAACCCAACCCGAAGGCTCAGATTTACCCTCGATTTCTAGTGTGGGGGGGTCCGGGAACATCGAAAAAACACATATGGAGCCCATACCCCCCCCCAACCCGAAATTCGGGTCTTCGGGTTGGGTTGGGGTGGTCTGGTAGGTAGTCATTGGCATCTGAGGAGGAGGAGGAGG